GCACAACTACCACAGAAGCGTTCGTTTATAATTGTAATTGCTCCAAATCGTTAAATATTTTACTATAATTTTTACTTTTTTTTAGTAATTTTTTTCTAATTCTTTTTCACTTCTTTTCTTTTAATTTGCAGATTTTGAAATTGCTCGACCGCTGATATCCGTCGTCCATTTGGTTACTGGCTTCCTGTCACCGCCATTATATCGCTGCTGACGCGAGAGTGTTAAGTGCAAAAAAGTGTTAATTTCAATAACAAAGCGAGAAAAAATTTTTAGCGAAAAAAGAGAAAAAATAATCAAAAACCCTTTGCTCAGTGCGCAGTGCAAAAAGGTGAAAAAAAATGCTGACGGACGACGCCATACCCTCATCAACATAAATTACTCAAGGTGCATGTATGTATGCATGTATGTATGTATGTAAAAGCATAAGTGCAAAATAGTTGCATACAAATATTAACGTGCAAGTGTTTGTCAAGTGTTCTATGCGCCTGTATGTATCTATGTATGTGTATTGAGTTCGAATCATCATCATCGTCATCATGCTCATTGCAGCAGTGAAGATCGCTGAGCTACAACGGACAGCAGGAATAAAATGAAACCAATTGCCAGAACTTATCGCGTTCGGTACACTAATGGCTGCAAGTTTGCGAATTCCACAGCGCATAGAAACAGAACGACAACAAAAACTAACGAGAACTAAAACACAACCAACGCAAATAAAAAATATAAATCAACAAAGAAAAGCAGCGACTAAGTGTTTGCAACAAAATCGAATTCCAGAAGGTGCAAGCAACATTCAAAAGCGAGCAATATTCCGTAGAAGGGCCATCAGCGCGCTGCGGACAAACAACGAACAAAAAAGGAAACAACAACAACTACTAGTACTACTAGATCAACAGCAGCGACGTGCAAAGAACTGCCGTGGGTTGGTAGTCTTCCACGTCGCAGCCACATTATGACGCGTTGCAGGAACACAAAATATTTGCCTGCAGACGTTGAGAAGAAAGAAGACGTCCGACAACGACGACGACGGCTACAACAAGCAGACAACGTCGTCGAACTGGTCACGGCCACAGACGATGTGAATACGAGCGCTTATGCGCGCACTTACAGCATGACAAATCAGCCAAATTGTAGCGATATCTTCATTTCTGTAACTGCCACAAATGCCGGCTCAGACACCGTCGGCACAAACACAACCATCATAGCCAACAGAAATAAGCGTATACGAAACAGGCATTTGTACAGAGGAGTAGCGGAAGCAACAGCAACTACAGCAGCAATACGTATATCAAAGTGCGCCGCCGCCGCTGCCGTCACCGTTGCCACCGCAAAAGTGTTTACATTAGCGCCAACCCTCCACCGCAGCGCCGCCACCACTCCTGTACGCGCCGCTCAAGTCAACGCAGCGAAAGTAAGCAAAGTGCAACTAGAAGACTGTAAAAGAACGCCACAAAACGCCGCTAATGCGCGACAGCTTGCAAAGTACGCAGCAGCGTCACCTCAACGCCGTCAACATAATTTAGTCTTAAGCAGTGCCGTTTGGCCACTCATCACTTGTTGCTTCGCATTTGCGTTGTACGCATTGCCATTGCCATGTCACAGCCAGCCACAGCAGTCATTGAGCGCCGCGTATGGTACTATGTTCGGTCCGAGTGTGGTCGGCGGACCCATTGCTCATTACAGCGTGCTCGCCTTTCCACGGCGCCGCTCGTCGGCGGGCGGCGATAGCGCAAGCGGCCTAATGCAGTCGCGCGCTGTCGATACGAGCGCACAATTTGAGGTGTTAGAAGGACAGCCGCGCGGCACAGTAGTTGGCTTTATACCCACCAAACCCGATTTTACATATCGCTTTAATGAGCCACCTCGTGAATTTGCGCTCGATCAGGTTACGGGTGAGATTAAAACAAATGTGGTGCTGGATCGTGAAGGTATACGCGATCGCTACGATTTAGTGGTGCTCTCCTCACAGCCCACCTATCCCATTGAGGTGCGCATCATTGTGCTGGATGTGAACGATAATGCGCCACAGTTTCCCGAACCGAGCATAGCAGTATCGTTTTCTGAGAGTGCGGCTACCGGCACGCGCCTGCTACTGGATGCGGCCACTGATAGCGATATTGGCGAGAATAGTGTGACGGACGACTATCACATTGTGGATGGTAATATGGAGGATAAATTCCGCTTGGCTGTGACAACGAATCCAAGTGGTGATGTCAGCTACCTTCATTTGGAGACTACGGGTAACTTAGATCGGGAAACGCGCGGTTTCTACCAGCTTAACATTTCAGCGCGTGATGGTGGTGAGCCACCGCAATACGGATACCTGCTGGTAAATGTTACCATTGTCGATGTGAACGATAATCCACCGATCTTTGATCACTCCGATTATATCGTCTCGCTGAATGAATCTGTGCCGCCGGGCACGCCTGTGCTTCAGGTTATGGCATCGGACAATGATCTGGGTGACAATGCCAAAATCACCTACTACCTAGCTGACACTGAGCAACAGTTTTCTGTTGATCCCGAGAGCGGTATCATATCCACCACCGAACTACTTAGCTGTCCACAACAGAATTGCCAGAACTTCGCACGCCCCGGCGCTGGTTGTCCGAAGAGCTGTGTCTTTACGGTATTCGCGCGCGATCACGGCTCTCCGCGGCAAGACGGACGTACCTATGTTACGGTGAACCTCCTGGACACCAATGACCATGACCCTGTAATACGATTTCAATATTTTCCGCCAACTGGCACATACGCGACTGTGGATGAGAATGCGGTGAACGGCAGTGTTGTTGCTGCCGTTTCTGTAGTGGACATGGATGAGGGCCTAAATGGCGATACGAGCTTGCGTATCATAACGGGCAATGAGTTGGGGCATTTTCGCCTGGAGAAGACACCGTCCTTCGATATTGTGCGCGTTAATGGTGTGTTGGATCGCGAGGAAATTGGCAAGTACAATTTGACAGTTGTCGCCATCGATAAAGGTACACCATCGCGTACGGCGACCGCGCACCTAATTATCCATGTCAACGATGTGAACGATCATGAACCAGTGTTCGAGAAGAGCGAGTATTCGGCGGTGCTGAGTGAATTGGCACCGGCAGGCACGTACGTTGCCTCCATTACCGCCACCGACGAGGACACCGGCGTAAATGCATTGATTTCATACGATTTCGTTTCGGGTAATAATAAACAATGGTTTGTTATTGATACAGCGTCCGGTTTGATAACAACGCAGGCAGCATTGGATCGCGAAGTGCAAGACAGCGTGGAATTGAGCATATCCGCACGTGATGGCGGCCCAAATCCGAAGTGGGCGTACACACAACTCAAGGTGACCATACTGGATGAAAACGATGAGGCACCACAATTCTCGCAGCACCAAATCAACGTTACACTCAGCGAGAATACGCCGGCACAGACATTGGTCGCCATGCTAACGGCAGCCGATCACGATCAAGGCACTAACGGCTCGGTGACATACACACTGGCGGGCAGTGTGGAGCGCAAGTATCCGAAACAATTTGCGCTCGACTCGCTCACTGGCCAATTAACGACGCGCAGTGCACTTGATCGTGAGACAATTGCGCATTATGAGATTTTTGTGATCGCACGCGATCAGGGTGCACCACCACAATCGGCCACAGCTACTGTTTATCTGAACGTTGAGGATGTCAACGACAACAGCCCAACGTTCTATCCGAGTCATTATTTTTATGCGTTGCCTGACGATGCGGGCGACAACAACGACAACAACGACAACAGCGACAACAACCAACCACTATTGAAAGTCACTGCCAGTGATCGTGATGCGGGCGATAATGCCTTAATTACCTACCAACTGGAGTCAGGTGGCGATGGGCATTTCGTCGTCGATACATGGAGTGGTGCGATAACGTTGCGCACCGCTGCCGCCGCCGCCGCCAGCAGCGATATACGCCACTCACCAAAGGCATTGTATAAGTTGAAGATTTCGGCAAAGGATCGCGGCGAACGTCTAAGCGAACAAGATGCATTGGTTGAGATTGTATTGCAATCCAAAATGGAGTTGCTCGAGTTCGAGTCATACGGCAGTTATGAGTTTCAAATTGTGGAAGATCATGAGCAACAACCGCCAGTGGTGGGTCGCGAGGTGGGTCGGGTGCAGGTGAAGTCACATGCTGGCAAATTGACACTGCCACCCAACATCGAGTACGCGATTGTGTATGGCGATGCGGATGAGAACTTTGAGGTGGATCGTCGCACTGGTCGCATTCGCACGGCGCGCCGCATTAATCGTGAAGCGGTGGCGCAGTATCAGCTCACTGTGATGGCGCGCACTGGCTTGGCCTATGGCAAATGCATTGTGAACATTGCGATCGCTGATTTGAACGATAATGCGCCGATCTTTGCACAAGATCGTGACGGTGAGATACAGTTGGCCGAGAACGCAGCTGTCGGTCAAGAGGTTTACTTGTCACGCGCACGTGATCGCGATTCAGGCATGAATAGCCATGTCACCTACACGCTCACCTACAATCCCGACGAACAGTTTCGCATCAGCGAAGCGACTGGCGTACTGCAATTGCAGCGTCCGCTGCGCGCAGCACCCGGTACATTACTGCATGTGGAGTTGATGGCCGCTGATGGTGGTACGCCGCCCTTGTCAACGCGACACACCATCGACGTGCTCATCGCCGATGTCAACGATCATACACCTGTGTTCGATCACACATCGTACGAGACATCGTTGCGCGAATCGACTAAGGTGAATGCGCGCTTCTTTGCGCTAGCTGCCAGCGATGCGGATCTTGGCGCAAATGGGCGGATATCATACGACATAATCGAGGGCAATACAGAGCGGAAGTTCGGCGTCTTTCCCGATGGTTATTTGTTTGTGCGCGCGCAGTTGGATCGGGAGGAGCGCGACTATTACGCGCTGACGGTAGCATGCCACGACAGCGGTATGCCAGCGCGTTCTTCTGTGGTACCGGTAATCATACATGTCATCGACGAGAACGATAATGCGCCGCAATTCACAAATAATACCTTCACCTTTAGCATCGCAGAGAATGAGCCAGCCGATTCGTTTGTCGGCAAGCTGACGGCAACGGATCGTGATATTGGACGCAACGCAGAATTGATTTATACGCTGGCATCGCAGGAGCAGGACTTCAGCATCGACATGCGTAATGGTTTCATCAAAACGCTACATCCATTCGATCGCGAGGAGCTTGTGCAACGACGTAGCAGCGCCAGCGTGGGTGGACAAGCGAATGGGCAGTCGGCTGGCGGTGTAGTGGGTGTAGGCGATGGTATTAACAATGGCAATAACTACATACAGCTGGAGGCCATCGTCTCAGACAATGGAGTGCAGCGCTTGCACGACAAGGTCAAGGTGAAGATAATCATTACAGATGTCAATGACAATGCGCCGCAGTTTGTGCGCGCTCCCTACCGCGTGCAGATTTCCGAAGGCGCTGGCATTGGCACGCAAGTGATGCGCGTCTATTCGGTGGATGCGGATGAGGGACTCAATGGCGATGTCTACTACTCACTTGTTGCCGGCAATGAGGAGGAACGTTTTGCCATGGATGATGCAACAGGACAGCTATCATTGGCGCGTTTGCTTGATCGCGAACAGCAGTCTTCATATAAGCTGGCAGTGGTAGCTCGTGATGCAGCATTGAACGGGCAGTTGAGCGCAAGTACCACCATTACAGTGGAGGTGTTGGATGAGAACGATGTGGCGCCCGCATTCGCGCAGACAGCGAGCGAAGTGTCTGTATTGGAGACGAGCGGCATCGGCACGGAGCTGATGCGTTTCCGTGCAACGGACTCAGATTTGGGCGTCAATAGCCAGGTTACCTATAGCATAACGGCTGGCAACCGTAAGGATACTTTCCACATCGATGCTATATCGGGAAGCTTGTACTTGCACAAGCCACTTGACTATGAAGATACTACGGTATACAATCTGAATATAACAGCTGCTGATGGCGGTACGCCGCGTCTAGCGAACACCATCGTCTTCACCGTAAACGTTGTGGATGAGAATGACAATCCACCCAGTTTCCCAAACACAGCCATTGTACGGCAAATTAAGGAAGGTATTGCCATTAAAACACCTATTGTTACCATAACCGCCGAAGATCCGGACTCAGGCTTGAATGGCAAAGTTACCTACGCGATTACGAAGCAAGACCCCGAGCAGCCGGGTGGCCGACACTTTGGCATCAACAACATGACCGGCGTCATACATACGCTGCGTGAAATCGATCGCGAAACCATCGACACGTTCCGTCTCACAGTCGTCGCCACCGATCAGGCAGAAAAGCCTGAACCACAACTATCCGCTGAAAAACTTGTGACCGTCATCGTTGAGGACATTAACGACAATGCACCCACATTTGTGTCCATGAATGCGGCCATATTGCCAATGCAGGCGGCGGCCGCCCAAAGTCATCACTACCGTGACGGTGTGCCAGTGATGCATGTGCTAGCGCGTGATGCCGATTCGTCCAGCAATGGACTGGTCACCTACGAAATGGTAAGCGGCAATATGGAACTCTTCAAATTGCATCGCAATACGGGTGCGATAACATTGCGCAAAGTGATCGACCAGCCGGAGGTGCGTTATCAGTTGGCTTTGAAGGCAACCGATGAAGCGGTGCAGAGCGAACGTAAAAGCACCGATGCGTACATAACGATTATTACAGCGGGCACGGCGTCGGGACCCGCATTCGATCAGCGCGAACAAAGCGGCTCAGTGTACGAAAATGAGCCGACCGGTACGAGTATTTTGACTGTGAGTGCACGCTTGAATGGCGCCGAAATCGAGTACTACGTGACGAATGTGACTGCAATCGGTGTGAGTGCGAGTGCAGGTGCGGGTGTGCAGCAAGTCGACCGCCTATTTGACATTGACACAAAACTTGGCATATTGTCGACAGCAAAGGAGTTGGATCGCGAAGCCGGACCGGACACCTACGAAGTGGAAGTGTATGCGATTGCATTGGGCGGAGCGCCGCGAACAGCGAGTACAAAGGTAAGTCGGGGTTTTTTCTTCTTCATTTTGTCTGCTTCCTTTTGTTTAGTTATGTAATGATATGCATGAAATTTGCTTTATATTTTTTGATTAATTCTTTATCTACGAGATTGATATATTATTCAGCCACTTTTGTTACTATTGCCTTGCAGTTTTTATAATTCAACCATATTTTTTGTTACGCAAAGGCATGTGGCTCTTAAAGCATCAAATTCGAGTTAGCTTCTCATTATAATATTTGAAAAATTCTCTGCGCGTCAACTTCCCACAGTACTCGCAGGTTAGTAAATATCTGTTAGGAAACAGCGCTGCACTGTGGCATGTTGCGGTATTAAGTGGGATCAATAATGAAGTTAAAATTGTAGGCAAAACCAGATTAATTCGAAGAATGACCAGGTCAATATCCAAATTGAGCTTTTCCGTTACATAGCTCATTATTACTGACATCATTATCGATATCACTATTGATAAATATATTTAATTGAAATTATATGTACAGAAATTATTGTCGATATTGTATGGACAAATACATATTGTAATTGATACTAATGTATTCAATAATACTGTTATCGATGCTATCGATATATACGGATAAAGTATATATACGAAAGTTATTGTTATCCCTACGATATATTGTACACTTAGTATCGAGTATTCATATGCAGTGACAGCAAACACTTCTACCTTTCGTTTTACATATTTAAAGTTATATGTATCGAAATTATTATCGATAGTGTAATGCCATTGCTAATAATGCATTTCAACATACTGTTATCGATTTTATCGATAAACACTTATAACTATGTATATGAACATTTATCGATATGTCTTCGATATATTATATTCTATTTTGGATATATATGTTTGAAATTATATGTATCGAAATTGTTATCGATAGTATATGTACTTTTATATTATGATTGTTAACAATGCATTCAGCCATACTCTTATCGATGTTGTCGATATTTATTTATAAGTACACATATAACCTTAGAAATTTAGATAACTTAATATACTGTGAAAATTCTGAAAGCTTCTATTCGATAAACTGACAAATTTCGATAACAACCAGTCAAGTTCCATAAATAAATAAATATCGATGACTCGACAAGTTGAAAGAACTCATACATTACGATAGTACGATAAATTTCGCTAACTCGATAACTCTAAAAGCTTCGATGACTCGATAAATATTGATAATTTAATAAATACCGATAACCTGATATATGCCAATAACTTTGCAAATTTCGGTAGTCCGATAAATTTTTTTAACTCGATAACTATCTGTAAATTTCAACAGACAAGTTTCCGTTTCTCGGTAAATTTCGATAACTCAATAAACATTGGCCAGTTTGAATAACTCCATACATTCCGATAACTCAATAAACACGTTAAATTTCGATAACTATAAACGTCGCTGATAAGAAACTTGATAAATTTCGATAACTAAATTTTTGATGAATGGATATTTTCGATTATTATCGAAAATTTTCAATAAAAGTTCTTACTTCTTTAGTTAACCTAATCCTTACGAATGTGTATTTCTCAATTTTACCTTAAATTTTGCCTTTGCTTTATTATCTTCAACGTTTTTTATCATTTATTTCTTCATCTTCACATTTACCTTTATTACATTAATTTTAAATAAGCAGTAAAACAAAATGCGAAAACAACTCAAATTGATCAGCTTGCAACAACAACTACATATAAACAAACACAGACATTTCTAATGCCGAATTTCCACTAGGCATTGAAATGACAAAAAATTTCTGCCATTTAAAAAAATGCCATGTGGAAATGATCTTAATGATTATTTTTTTAATGACCGACTTTGTCATTTGTCATTTTTGCCATTTAATGCCTAGTGGAAATCCAGCATAAACGACAATTTGGGCTGTATTTTTCAACCAATCTCGAAACTCTACTCATCTACTGAAAAATACCTTTCCAATGGTGTTCTCTGTTTCGAAATCGTTCCAGTAGAATCGCCAAACTTATGGTAGTGTTTTTTTGATATACATATGGATAAATAATATATACCCCTTAAATATCCAGGGCCGACACGTACCGGGCCAGATTACCACCCCATTTAGTTGCCAAAAATGCTGCGATAGCCCCGCGCCTAGATCACCGAAAAGTGCCTTAGCGCTTACGCTGACGATTCCTTAAACTTTGCCCCTCTGAAAGCTTCGCTGAACCATCATTTCAGCTGCTGCCTACCACACACTCATTTATTGAGGGTGCGTGTAGAAAGTGCTACTTAGAGCTATGTAATTAAGCTGGCGTCAGTGCTATCAGGAACGATGTCCAAGCTTCAAAGGATACAGGGACAGCTAAGTACGCAGTGCGCCTAAATTCGACATGCTTGCGCTTGCTAAAGCAACTTAACCTGCAATTTGAGTAGGCGCTCTTATAATCATGCTCTTAAGTAAGTAAGTTGAGTAGCGAAGTTCCAAAGTGCACTTTCAACAAAAATATCTCCCAGACTATCAAGCTTATCACTTCTTCCTGATGTCGCCTTTTTCCAATGCTATCGGGTAATTGTTATATGCACCATTACAGAATTCTTAACACCCAAACTACCCACACAGGAATTATTCATTTGCATACCTACGTAATGCATTCAATAAATGCATTTCCTACGCCGCAAATGAACATTTGTGCGCATTAATATTACGCCCATACATACATACATACATTTATATGATGGTGTGGCACAAATAGAAATGTGCTTGCAAGCCATAAGCTATGCAAAATCCTTAATGGAATCCCATTTCGAAGAGATTTGGGTGCGTTGCTTATCGCGCGGAGATACCAAAAAAAAAAACCAAAAAACCACACAAAAACTTAAACCTCAAACCAATATAATCGAGCATAGCGTAGAATTGCCACGGTCAGGATGCCAGCGTACATATGTGAAAGTGTGTGCACGCATACATAGCAACTAATTTAGACGCCATAAAATGCGCATAAACATAACGAACTAATTTATTGCTATAACGTGCAACACCAGCAACATTAACTATGCCATAGTCAACACAGAACGTCTCCTCATAATGCAACAGCAGGCGTATCGCGGCCACAACCGATTGCCGCCGAGTGGTGCAAGTAGTAAAAAAACACCTGAGTCCTTATGTTTGAATGCAATTCATAGACGCAACAGTCACAGCAGCAGTGTTGCAAGTTGGAACTCTTGTGTTGTGCGCAGCTACAATGCAATGACATTAGTTTACCCACACCTTGTCGGCGACAGACATCAGCAGCAGCAGCCTCAACAAAAAGAACTAGTGTGCTTGCAGGCGAGTTGGCAGCATGAAGCGGAAGAGAGAGAGCGAGAGTTGAAGCACAGTTGATGGCCAAGCTGCAAGGTGAGTGTGTAAGGAATCATAAAAATCACCTCGCAGGCAGTAAAAAATCATTGCAGATGATATTTCACTGGCAAAAAGTTTACAAGTTTGCACGAATGTGTGCAGGTGTATGCATGTGTGTGCGTGTGTATGTGTGTGTGAGTGTATGTGAGTGCGCGCGCTTATGCGCCTGTGCAGATGCATGGCGGTGATATGCAGCTGCAGTCAACTATGAGTGGCTTAAAATGGCTCTGACCAACACCGGACATGCACACATACATTTAAATACATACATACGTACGTACATACAAATGTACATTCATGCAACTAGTCAACCAACCATTTTAGCATATGTCGCAGCTATAATTGCTGTGAAAATGTAAGATGGCGATGTGGGTTGGTGCGATGAGCTTGGCGCTGACGATAAGGAGACGGCGAGATGCAACAGCAGCAGCAACAGCAGCAGTGGACAAATGATGAGGTATGCAAAAAGGAGTTGCAACTAAGCAATGGCTGTCGCAAATAAGCATGTTGTTTTTATTGTTGCATACATATTTGGCAAAGGCAATGGTGGCGGTAATGGAATTGGAAGTGAAATAACAAGTGCCAGCTGAAGTCAAAGCGATTTGCTTAGTAGAAATGTCGCGACAACGCCAGTTGGATTAGCCGCATAAGTGTTTGCGTGTTTTTTGTGTGTTTGTGTGAAATAATGTTGTTGCTATTTTAAGTATTCGTGTCTTTACAACATAGACACACACATATGTATCTAAGTATATACCACTGGAATTTATTATGATGTTTAGAGAATTTGATTGCCATAGTAACGTACTACAGCTAAGCGGAATTAATAAGACGGACAGACATTGCACATATTTAAGGTGGCATCAGCGCGTATGCACGCAGAAGGTGGGGAAAGTAAGAAAGTGGCGTTGAAACCGCAGCTTAAGTGCGTAACTATGCTTACTTATGGCGGACATATGCACATACATACACATACGTGCCCATGCAAGAATACTAATCACTTCGTTTTGCTGCTAACCCAGCAAACAGAAGCAAATAATTGGTGAAGTCTATGTGTAGAGCAGGGACGGTAAATAAAAAAAAAAAGTTGCGTGTGGATCGCACGGGCGACTCTAAGAAAAATTCTTCTTCCACTTTGACTCGAATTACTATATTACTAATTAGTGCACCCGCATGCCAATAAAACGTCAAAATTGAATTAAAAATTTTAAACAGGTGGCAATTCTCTTCAAAAGCATAAAAAATATTGCACCAGTTAAAAGCGATACGTTTGCCAAATTTCATCTAAATCCATCCAGCAGTTTTTGAGGGGAGCAAAGTCTCTTTTGGTTTGGTTTTTCTAATTTCAACTCATCCTGTTCCAATAAAAAAGTTCTAACTTCAGAAAGTAAAACGTTAAATCAAATCTCCAGGACAAGCTCTTTAATATGTCGTCTCATTCTTGGCATTCGACAGTGCAGACCTGATGACCTTCATAAAAAATGGCTTCGCTTTTTCGAATAGGTGGCAACCCTAATGAAAAGTATTTTCAAGCCAAAGTTTTCTTAAAAATTTCGCTTTTCCAAACAGTTGGCAACCCTTTTCTTAAAGTTTTCTTTAAATTAAATCTTCGCCTTAAATCTCTTTCGTCTG